ATTAAACTATACGACCTAACGCGATTATGACTATTAGATAGACATGGATAGAAAAAATTACCAAGCGAAAAGGAAATCTTGGCGAATGGCTTTTATGCAAAATGTGAATCATTTTAAGGTTATATTATATATACGAGGCAAAAAAGAATGTCTAACAAAAGTGGACAATCTGAATAGAAAAAAATAAATGTAGTGACTATGCGATAGCAAGGAGAATGTATCAATTTTATCTGTCCTAATGAATCCTAATAGCAAATCCAAGCGTTTTGTAACAGTTAGCAAAATAGGCCATTAATATTAATTAAAAATAACTTCCACACCGGTCATTGGATATGTTGCAGTCAATCACAGTCTTCCTGTGAGTTGAAATAACCAAAAAAGGAAGCTCAACACGGTCGGCTCGAGAGTTGACGAGCTGGCCTGGCCGCGAGATGGCAAATGAGTTTCGGTTCAGCCGATCGGACATTTTGAGAGCCGTTTCTGGCCCTTTGTTACCAAGAGCAGAATTATGCTGTTGTTGTTGTTGGGATCTATGCTTGAGTCGATTACGCATCACCAGGTTTTTGAAAGCAATAAGCTGGAGAATCAGTTCCTGGATCTCGGCGATCTGAGAATGGGTTGCAATAAATGAGTATAAAAATTGTAGAAATCCAGGCAAGCTTCAAAGAAGCAGGCTAAAAAATTTGATGAAATCAGAACTCGGATGATCAAATCGAATAATTTTGATAATCCCACTGAAGCATGCCTAAACAAAATTTTAGTTAAAACGATAAACGTGTTTACTTTATCAACAATGAGACTTACTTAAAGTTTGTGATAAAAAAATCTCGGATTACTATGAAGATTTTAAGTGCCTAATGACTTAATCGCATTTGGATAAGACAAGGCGTTGAGGTAGTATAAACGAAGCATGAAACAGTTCTGACTCATGTTGCAGTATTTTTCATTTCGTATGAATTAATATAGTCAAAATATGGGACATCCAATCAAAACAAGAGATGCATAAGTGGACCAAATTGGAATATAAGAAGAAAGTAGGTTTAAAGTCGGCCACTTTTCTTGTCCTCATGTATTTGGTAAATTATCGTAAGGTGTCCCGCTCTGATGCCGTCCGTTTCGTGACTCCCATTAGGATTCATTTTCAGATCGTGATTATCGTGGCGACGTTACCATTTCTCTATATAGCCACTTGCCAATGGCCTACATTTAAAGCAAGCCAGCTTTCTTCCTAATATTTATAGTGGGGTTTGTAATTTCCCCATTACTCACAACCCGGTCTCGGATCCCATTGCAAACGAGACCTTGACGAAGCCATCGCTGTAAATCATGGATGAAACAGCTTTTTGAGATATCTGACCAACTATAATTGAATCTTGAAGCTTACTTATCTTACATTGGAAAAACTCGATTGTCGGTTCTTAATTCGCCTTTAGTCATCTAAAATGTTAAGTTCTTATTAAAAATTGTCTCCAAACCGAATTATACCTAAAATACAAACTTATAACGTACAAATAGCATCGGCCTTTTCTTGTGCTTCAGATGACTAATTTCACTAGTTTAATAAAACTGGCCTGAGGTCCAAGTTTACCGATCACCAAATCGATTTAGTACCGGTTTTTTTCCAATATTATTATGTCTGAATTTTACATAATTCTTTGTCTTTCTCCTCCCTCGCTATTTGTAGATTCTCGTGCTTTTATCTCTAATCCGCTTATGAACTCACTTCGATCCTACAAGTTCCTTAAGATCTCAAAATCCGTTCCTTTTTCTCGAATTATTTTTTGTTTTAAAGGCTACACTCTTGCTTCCTTAGAGAATAACTGTAGTCTTACTTGAAGTTGTATTCTGCTGATATTTATATACCTTCCCATGCTTCACTTAGATATATTGTCATTGTGTTCATGGAGTTGGTAGGTATTCTCCATTTTGCAAACCAAGCTCTCCAACAATTGGATTAAGAAAACGAAATGGTATACTTCTAACTATTAATATCGAATTCATCTTTAACCATTTAAAATAAAGCAGAGGGCAAGTGACGAAGATATAGACCATCACTTAGCTGTAAATTTGGCATAGCTTAGGTGGCTATATCTTTATATATATCATTTGACTTGCATAAATATGCTTAAGGCAAGCAGTATTGCATAACATGCTTGCTATGAGGCGCAATTCTCGTCACTTATAAAATACCATACTTTTACCGCTCCCTTGCTTTATGCAACTGTATTAGTCTCCGATAATCCCTCTCAAGAAAACAACAATTTTTATTACCTTTCAAAATTCAGAATCGCTTTAATATCCGGGACCGGTTTTTGAGTAATGGGGAAATTACAGACTCCACTATAAATATTAGGAAGAGGGCTGGCTTGCTTTAGATGTGGCCCATTGGCATGTGGCAATATATAGAAATAGTAACGTCGCCACTATAATCACGATCTAAAAACGAATCCTAATGGAAGTGCTAAAGCGACCTATGCGGGGTCGAAACTGGTGACTAGATTAGATAGCTTTTTTGGAAGCAAGACTAAGTGAACGTTAGTTACATCACGAGACCTACTGATATAATTGTGGGAAAGCGCAACTATCAGTCACTAAATCCCCTTAAGCGACATATGGTGACAAAATTATTAAAAATAAATTTACTTATTCGATAACTCAAATCAATTCAGGGTGACAAATACTACTCTTACTTAGATATCAGGAGTTAGTTTAACTTTTTGAGATATTGATAAAAAGAAGATAGGAATAAAATAATGGACACAATGTATTACTGGTAATGTTGATAATTTACCTTATTCCGTAAAGAGACTTGTCGCTTCTCGCGCTCCTCTTCGAGTCGTCGGCATTCCTCAATCATATTTACGGGCAAACCAACCCAACGAATCTCCTTCTTTTCTTTATGTAGTACTTTCAGAGCCATAAGAACATTCAGCGCATCATAGACTCGGCGGCGGATGTTTTTTTGGATGTAATGGAGCTGGGAAATAAGAATATTAGAAGCTAGCAAGAGGGGCTTCGATAATAAAGTTTTTAAATAGCTTGATAAACTTGCATTTTAAAATTCAATAAAGGTTAGAGAACGAGCAAGCTTATGGCATTTTATTTAGACAGATAACAGGTATGCAATATAGCAACATGTATTCGCTAAGGCATATTGAAGCATAT